CATCTAATCCTTCTGAACTAGAACAGCCCCTTGTCCTAATGTTCTGATTTTTACTTTATTTTGAAAGTAGTCTCATGCATTTGAAAGTTTTTCGGAAACAACTGTGCAGTGAGGGTTTTGAACAACGAGTTCCTGAGTGTTACCTTTTAAAATATCAGGATTCTAAACTAAAGTCCTATGGGCCATAACAATTCCATCCAAAGATTCTGTTATTGTCAGAATGAACCAGACAGACAGTGAAGAACATGGCACAACCTGGTACCACTCAGCAAATTGCTTTTGGTTTCTTAATGGGATCTTCCTCCTTCCTCTCTACAACTTTAAGTATAGCAGCAGTAGAAGCAGCAGCCTACAGTATTCAAGAGTCAGCACCCTAGTGTGAGCAGTGACAATTGATACAAATGGCATGCTTCTAGTCACAAAGGCCATGTCATCACTGTGCTACCCAGTCAATCATCAAACCAACAAGCATTTATTAGTCCCCTAGTGCCTGGCAATGTGCTGGGGGCAGGGAATGCAAAGGTAGTCCCTCCCCTCAAGGAGCTTACCATTCTATCAGGGAGAGCAAACCATGTTAAGTGAGGGTTACTCATTTATAAATGGTGTACTGGGAAGTGGCTAACAATACTGGTATATTTTAGTTCCAAACTCCAAAGAGTCTCTTAGAGAGATAATTCTGGGAGAGAGAAAGATTTACAAAAATATCTCTATTAATGTAGAGAATATAAAAGGCATAGGATTTTATTCTAGGATTTCTGAAAAGAGGGATTAGGGTACAAAAACACAATTAGATACTACTTAAAATAACAGATGGGCCAAGAAAAATATAATGAGCTTCTGAAAGCCTAGAGGCAGTCGTAGTGTGGTGTCTTGAAAAGAGTGTTGGATTGGAATCAGAGAATCAAAATTCCACCCCCATGACTCACTACTTATATGGTCTTCAGCAAACCACTACCTTTCTTTGGGTCTCAGTTTCCAGATTTGTTAATTAAGTCAGTTGAACTAGATGACCTCCAAAGTCCTATCCAGCTTTAAATCTATGATTCTAAGACTAATTGTAGTGGTAGGGGAAAGTTAAGTTCAAGGCTTAGACAGGGAAGGGACACAATGGGAAAGGCAGGGAAGAGAATAAGCATTTCTATAGGATCTACTATGTGTCAGGCACTGTGCTAAGTGTTTTTACAAATAGTATCTTTTCTGATCTTCATAACAACCCTGCAAGGTAGGTGCTATCGTTATCCCCATATTACAGTTGAGGAAACTAAGGCAGACAGAGATTAGGTGAGTTGCCTAGTGCCACACACCTAGCAAGTATCTGGGGCAGGATTGAACCCAGGTTCTCTGACTCCCAGGCCAGTGCTCTATCCATTACACCATCAGGTATAAAGGGAGGCTACTTACATGGTGAAGGGGTGCTGAATTCAGGTAGGCTTCATATCCTGCAAGAAGCCGGTGATGGAAGCTTCTTAGCTGGGAACGATTCCTGAAAAATAATGGGTCCTCAGCAGTGAGAGCTAGGCCAGCCCATAGCTTGTTTGTGCAAACTAAGGCATCACTCACTCCTACTCATCACTCCACCTTAGATCCAATTTTATGGTGAGGTCCCTCTCGATCCTTCAAAATCTCCCCTTACCTGGCTACTGATGCCCAAAAATCTCTCTAGCTAGAGGAGTAAAAAGCCTTTCATTCATGCAAACAATTCACTTGAATGAAACTCATTCGCACTCAAATGTCATCAGTTTATCAGCAAGTGTAAATAACTGAATGAGATTACTTCTGTCCCATCAAAAGTAGAATTATAAGAGGGCATCTAAGGGGCGCAGTGGAAAGAGCACCAGCCCTGGATTCAGGAGGACCTTAGTTCAAATCCAGCCTCAAACACATAACACTTACTAGCTGTGTGACCCTGGGCAAGTCACTTAACCCCATTGCCTAGCCAAAAAAAAAAAAAAAACAGAAAACAAAACAAAACAAAAAAACCCAATACCTCTAAGGGGCAGCTAGGTGGCATAGTGAATAGAGCACCAGCCCTGAAGTCAGGAGAACCTGAGTTCAGATCCAGCCTCAGACCAAACACTTGACACTTACTAGCTGTGTGACCCTGGGCAAGTCACTTAACCTCAATTGCCTAAAAATTAAAAAAAAAGTAGAATTATAAAACAGGAGACTGGGTATTCCCAATAGACTGGGTAGTAATTGACATGAATAGGAGGGGAAGGGAGTATGGAAATGAGAGTGCAGGAAATGCAAGGCAGAAAGAAGGGAAGAGGAGAGAGAAGGAGAAAGAAGAGGAGAAAAGAGAGGAGGAGAAAAGGACAAGGGGGAAAAGAAGAGGGAAGGAAGGAGAGGAGAGGAGGGGAGGAGAAGAGAAGGGAAGGGAAGGAAGAGGAGAGAGGAGAGAGAAGAGGAAGGAAGGAGAGGAGGAGGAAGGAATGAAGAGAGGGAAAAGATGGGGGAGGAAAGGAAAGGAGAGGAGGGAAGGAGAAGAGAGGAGAAGGAGAAGAGGGAGAGGAGGTTGGCTCACTTCACAATTTTGCAAAGGGTCAGCCCTGTTTACCTTTAAGGTCATTTCATAAATAGAAGCTCCGTCAGGAGGTATTTTTGTCCTCACCCATAGTGGCAGCTTAGTTGGGGGGCAGGGAAAAAACATTGCTTTTGAGCCACAAGATACATACCAACACGCCTTCACATGATTTATGAATATTTTGCCTTTTTTTTTTTTTTCCAAGCCCAGCTTCTTTATAAAGGAGCTTTATTCCCTAAGAATGGCAATGTGGTGTGGTGGAAAGATTTTTGACTGTAGAGTCAGGAGACCTGTGCTCAAGTCTCAGCTCTCTTCTTACTAATTTTGTGAGGTACTAATTATGGTTTCCTCAGTTTTCTCATCTGTCAAATGGGGCATTTGGGCTAGATCGATGGTTCCCAATTTTTTGCAGTTTGAGAAACCCTTTTAAACATAAAAAATTTCAGACACTCAAATGATTGTAGTTGTGCTACAATCTTTACTTGTAATGTATATAGATGGTTTGTATATAGCTGTCTACATGTTGTTTCCTGCATTGGAATGTGAAGTTCTTGGAGCAGAGATCTTGTTTTTGTCTTTTTTTGTATCCCCAGATCTTAGCCCAATGTCTGACACACAATAGTTGCTTAGTAAAAACTTATCGACCATTGACTAACTAATACTGCTAGTACTTCGAGTTAGTGGGAATGAGTAGTAGATATATCTATTGTCTGAGAAAACACATAGCAAAAACTACTCTGAATTTGGTAATTCTTTTAAGTGAATTTCTACTTTATTAAGCATAATAATAATACCTGGCATTTATAAAGTACTTCGAGGTCTGCAAAGTGCTTTACAAATATTTCATTTTGACCTCACAACTAGGGGGTAGATGCTATTATTATCCCCATTTTACAGATGAGAAAACTGAGGCAGGCAGCAGTTCCCACAGTAAGTATCTAAGGGAGGATATGAACTATCTTCTTGACTCCAGACCTATCACCTAGCTACCTCATACTTTTTACCTAATGCATATATCTATGAGACATACTATTTATTTAGTCTACAGAAGAAGTGTGTAACCCATGAATCTATTAAAGGACAGATGGATCAAGTTGAATCTGGGAAGCTTATCAATAATAAAATCGCGATCTATGGCTCATGCCCACACCCTGGGAACTTTTCATTTGGGCTCCTTCCTTGATCTTATCTAGGTAACTTCAGTTTCTTTGCCAGCACCAAACTAATGAGGTACAGATTATGGATTATACACAGCAAGTAAAATTATTATTATCTGAGCCTCTTCAATCTAGTGAGTCAAGAAAACATTCCCCTTTGATGAGTCCCATTTTTCCCAGAGACTGCTATAATTGTTCCACATTTAGAGTGTCATCCCTGAAATTTAGACCCTCCTCCCCTCAAATGGGGATATAACTCAGGAGTCTAGAGAATCCAACAACCCTCCCCTCTATAGAGTCCCACACATTTTTCAGAACCTACACAGACCACATGATAAAAGTGCTATTGAAGGGCAAGGTCCGAGTCAGTTCCTCTACATCATAAATCTGTGCCTTCCTCCCTGGTCCTTGGCATGGCCCAGGCACCCTCCCGACACTCTATCACTGCCTTCAGTCTAGCATCCACTGTAGATAAGAGCCCAGCATTCTCCTTACTGCATCCCACTTCCATAGTTGCCATCTGCTTCCTGTGGTTTTGCTGCTTCCTACAGGAAGTCAGAACTTTATTAATTAGAAAGCTTTTGTTGGGGCTGATCGACACATTTCCAGCTCTGCTGTTATTCAGGCTGACAGTCCTGGCCTCTGACACACAGACCCAAAAAAAGGACCTTTTATACAACTGTTAAGACCTCCCAATTCACCTTTGTCAACCAGATTGGATCTCTGGTTTTCACTCCTTAAGTTAGAGTGATTATCCTATTCACACGTTCTTCTGTCCTTTCTACTTAATCTTATATTTCCAGTACAATAAATTATAATCCTTCTCCCTTGAGCTACAGCAATGGGCCTGGATAAGGAGAACTGTAATCGAAAAAAAAGAAGCAGTATGTTCTAGAGCTGAAATTCTTCACTTTTTCTTTTCTTTTACATCATGGGACCCTTTTGGCAGTCTAGTAAAGCCTATGGATCTCTTAGAAGAATTTTTTAAATGCAGAAAATAAAGTACATGGAGTTATCAAGGAAATAATTATATTGAGATAACAATTATATATGTTTTAAAGTTTCTGGACCCCCTGGTTAAGAACCTTTGGTCTAGTGAAAAGTCAAAAGTCAAAAAAGTCAAAGATTTGAAATCAAAAGGCCTGGCCTCAAATTAGGTTTCTATGACTTAGTTAGCTGATGACTTATAGAAAAGTCCCTTAATCTCTCTGGACCTCACTGTCCCCATCTGCAGAGGGAGGGGCTGAAGGTAGATGACCTCTTAATCTAAAATTTTCAACTCTCATTGCTCTCTATGACAAATATTGTTTGACTTGCAGGGTCCTCTTTTGTCTCTGTATCTCTAGCAACTAGCTCGGTATCTTGTGCATAGCAGGTGCTTCAGAAAAGCTTGTTGAATTGATGGATCTTGAGAACAGTGGTATTCAGGAAGGTAAGGCAATGTTAAAACTAGAAGCTAACACTGGTGATTGTCCCAACCAAAATCCTTTCTGAGAACTCCAAACAATCTGCTCAGCCCCCTGTCCTGACTTAGAGAGTAGCCAGTCCCCTCATTGTGAAGTGATGAAGGTTGCTTGCTTTAGCTAAACCAAGTTTCCATTGGTTGACTCTGGACTGCTCTTAGGGGAAGAAAAAGAGAAACAAAATACATCCCCTAATTATCTTGTTACCTACCAATTATCTACCAAAACAGTTCTGTATATTAAAAGGAGCAGCGTGAACTCAATTGGACTCTCTAGGTGAGTTAGACAAAACAATGCCGAGCTCCAGCTGCTCTGCAAAGCAATTTGGAGAACTGAGCCCCCAAAGTCACTAAACTTTCCAAGAAGACCAAAGGAAGAGGAAAAGGACTCATAGGTACAAAAATATTTATAGTTAATATTTGTGATGGCAAAGAACTGAAAACTAAGGGGGTGCCTGTCAATTGGGGAATAACTGAACCCATTATGATGTAGGAATGTAATGGAATACTTTTGTGCTGAAATGACAAAAAAGGGGACAGTTTCAGAGAAACCTGGGAAAATTTGTATGAACTGATGAAGGGTGAACTGAGCAGAACCAGGAGAATAATTTATGAGTATAATGAGGGATTAGTCAACGAGATCAATGAGATCCCATTTGTAGAAATGCCTGATGACATGGAATGGAATGCTCTCCATTTCAGAATAGAAATGGAGAATAGAATATATGACTATTTCCAGTCTGCTATCTATATGGTGAAGAAACTGACTTTTCATTTGCTACTACTAAACTAGAACCGGGTGTGCATTCAAAAGGCATTTAGCCAAATCCACAGGGTGTTACCAAGTTTCCAGTAGAAAGGTAGTGAAAGAGTGAATAAATCCAGTCACCCCACCCTACTTAAAGTAAGTGATAAAAATGCTACTCCCTGACTCCTTAGCCAGGTGAGAACATGTCTCAAATAATCAATCATGGGGTTTAGACTAGGTGCAAAAAAGGTCCTTGAACAACTGGAATGATGTTACATAAGGGAGAGTGTTTCAACTGCCTGAGGAATCTTGGAAGTGTTCTGTGGGCCCTTTGTAAAACTAAGGAAAATTGGTCAGATTTGAGTGAGCAGGGAGACAGATTTGTTTTGGCCAATTAGGATCTTTTGAATGCACACCCAATTTGAGCTCAATAGCCAATGAAAAGTCCATTTCTTCAACCTGTGGACCAGAAAGGGTCAGGGAAAACCTTGGCATGCTCCTAGTGAAGCCCCTAGATTACACATCATCAGGTACTTCCAGAAGTGGGCTCACTGGATAGTCCCCCATTACACAATAACTACATTTTAAAGAAAAATAACCTTAAAAAGACTTTAAGATCCCTAATCAGTGAAATGACAAACCACTATGTTAAATTCCTGAGAGAGAGATGATGGACTTAAGATGCAGAAAGAGACAAGCATTTTTGGACACAGAAAATGTGGGAATTTGCTTTGGTTGAGTATGCCTATTTGTTGTAATGGTTTTGTTTTTCTTTTTTTCAATGGGGGTGAGGTGGTGCTGGGAAGGAGAAGAAGGATGGGATGAGATCCTCATGCCTCCTAAAAGAGAAGAAAACACAAGAAGACCAGAAGTAATCCCAGAAAAGCTCAATAGCATTGAAGGTTGCAACTTGATCCTATTATATACTTTAAAAAAAAAAACCAGACTGTATGTAAGAGACTTGCAGCTTCATGTACAATTCTCTTTTTCTGTTCTACTATGTATATGCAAATATCAATCCTATTTGGTGTTTATTAAATTCAAAGTAAAAATTAATAAAAATGTAAGAACAACAAAATAGTTACGTGTTGAATTTATTATATACTTAAAAAAGATAACAAACTACATGACGGAAATCAGTTTCATCTTTCAATCCCTGCCCCTTTCTGTTCTAAAAGGCATATGGAAATGCTCACTTTATTTTGTGTTTGTTAGGTTCAGAATAAAAAACAAAAATAGAATGAAAACAAAAGAGTGGTCAATGTCAACATTAAAACATTTTACTCTGTCCTCTTGAGCAGTGAGAGTACTGACCTTGGTCAACATAGACAGATGGAATAAGCATTTATTAAGCACCTACTGTTTGTCAGGCATTGTGCTAATCAGTTTAAAAGTATCTCACTTGATCCTCCCAGCAACCCTGGGAGGTAGATGCTATTATTGTCCCCATTTCAGAGAAAAAAAAACTGAAACAAACAGATGAATTGACTTGCCCAGGTTCACAGAGCTAGTTAAGTGTCTAAGACTTGTACTCAAGTCTTCCTGACTTGAGGACCAGTGCTCTGTTCACTTCACCACCTAGCTGCCTCTGTGTGAACTTGCTGCCTAGCTAGAACTAATGAGAAATTTTACATGACTCATTCACTAAGTTCCTTGAGGGCAGGGAGTGTCTTTTGCCTCTTTTTGCATCCCCAGTGCTTAACACTATACCTATCACGTAGCAGACACTTAACAAATGTTTATTAATATTGGTATACAAAAGTACTGCTGAGACTAAAACTAAAATTAGGTTACTCTCTGAACTACAGAACAGAATAATGAATAGAGGAAGAAGGGCAGGTGTTCTTATTAATCCCTTTTGCCTTCTTTGCTTATTTGAAAAATTCAGAAAGGTTACTCACTCCCCAACCTTTGACTCTTGAATGTCTGAGTTGTACTGTATCACGTTGATCCTGTTATGTTATGTCCAGTTTGGACACAACCCCAAAGCCTCAAATTACAAGTTCTAGTGATCTTGCTCTCTTCCTCTGCTCCCTGAAAATAGACATTTCATTTTCTCTCTGCCTGAGTCTTGACATAGGCTCCATCATCTGGGCCTGCTTTAGAAGAAACAAGCCCAGCCCTGGATCAAAAGCTACCAGTGAGGACTCTTCTCCTGGCTGTTCGTTGGACCAGTAAGCTGGCTTAAGTTACTCTTCTTTTAAACCCCAAACCATGATACCATTAAACCTTGATAAGGTTCATGGATGAAATATCAGAACAAATATGTGACAACTATGGGTGTGTTGGAGCCACAGTAATGAAACAATAATACATTGGAATATAATAATACACTATTGGTGGAGCTGTGAATTGGTCCAATCATCCTGGAGAAAAATTTGGAATTATGTTAAAGCTAGCTCCAACCATGTGTCACACTCCATTCCAGTCATTTTATTGACATCTACCTTGCTTACTGATGCACCCTTTGGATGACTGAAACTTGCCATGTGTTCTGCTACTGAATGCTACTCATTACTACCACCCTTCCAGAATCATATCATATCAATCAATCAATCATATCAATTCCAGAACCATAATCAAAATAGCTAGTGGAAAGTACATATCAAGCCTATTTCTCTGTGGTTCCACTCATCATCCTTGTGACTCCCCAAAGCAAAACACAACTTTAATGGCTCCTACTACCCTATCTTCCCTAGTAGGATATAAGCTCCTAGAATTCAGAGACTTAAAAAAAATCATTCTATCCCCAGTGCATGGCACATTGCCTTGTAAATCATAGGCATTTAATTTTTTTTTATTGAAAGAGAGAAAATCAACTATAATTCTAACCTCAACCTCAACCTTAGGACCCTAATACTTAATTATTGTCATTATTATTATTAATATTTTAGACACTTTTCCTTAATATGGCTACAAAGTGCCATATTGCAATACATATGCTATGTTACGTTACATTACATATATGGCTACAAAGTGCTGTATTACAATTTGCTATATATAATATAATTCATTAAAACTTTACCAATTTATATTTGTTGAGCTGTGAAATTCACTTATCTGGGGCATAAGTGTGCTTCTGTATTCTTAGCAAGTAGCCACTCAGCTAAGTTTGCCTCAGTGTCCAGAGCTAGCAGTTGCTCATTTATATAAGACAAGCTATAGAACTTCGGAGTAAATAGAGGACAAAGGCTGAAAGATGAAACTGTGAATTTCCATCAATTTGTTTTCTCTTTTAAATATATAATAAATTCAACATGTGATTCTCTTTTGTTGTTCTTACATTTTTGTTCATTTTTATTTTGAATTTAATAAACACCAAGTAGGATAGGTATTTGCATATACATAGTAGAATAGAAAAAGAGGATTGTATTTCAAAGATTCAAATGTACATGAAAAATGGAGAATTCTGAACTTAATACTGAGAAAATATGAAAACCAGAGCTGTTTTATGATTATAGGACAGACATATATTACCTGGTTATGACCTAGTGATAGAAAATGAGAATTTGATTATTTTTTTTTAGGCAATTGGGGCTAAGTGACTTGCCCAGGGTCACACAGCTAGTTAAATGTCAAGTGTTTGGTCTGAGGCCGGATTTGAACTCAGGTCCTCCTGACTTCAGGGCTAGTGCTCTATCCACTGCACCACCTAGGAAAATTAGATTATTAACCATAGGTTAAGATCTCTTGCCAAGAAAGGGTCCAACTGATGATCCAAAATGGTATTGAGGTAAAGGAATAAACTTTAAAGAGGCTCTACCTGTCTCTCCACCGTCACTTATTGTCAGGCAGATTTGACTAGCCAAAGAGATGCTGAAGTTTTGCTTCCTCTGCTTCTGAAGAACACAAGTGAATAAGGTATCCTTTGCTCTGTACTGCCATCTGCTGCTGAGAATAAGGGGGGGAAGGCAGAAAATATTTCTCTGTATTGCTGGAAAAGAATCTTGTCCAAGAAGTAGAGATGGAGATGCTTTTGCCGAATTTAGATGATGGGTCACTGCCCTTTCCCAAAAGAACCTAACACTACTTCATCTGAAGGCAGCAGCTAAGTTCAAAGCATTGGAAGACATAGGAATTGGTGCAAAGTGAAGCAAACCGAACAGAGACAACAATGGACACAATGACTACAAGTAATATAAATGGAAAAGAACAGCAAAAAAAGAAACTGACTGCTGGGTAACTCTCTATAATTAGTGGAGAGAAGGAAACGTACCTCTCCTTCACAGAAGTGCTGGGCTATGGGTATAGAATATCACATATACCGTCAGATGAGCTTTTACTTTGTCTGCCTTAGCATCAGCTCCTAAACTACTTCTCAGCCTGCATCGGTGCTTCCCTTCTCCCTTCTTTCCAACTCACACTCCCCTCTATGTGTTGTCTTCCCCATTAGAATTTTAGCTCCTTGAGGACAGGGACTATTTTGCTTGACTGTGTTTGTATCCCCAGTGCTTAGCCTAGGACCCGAAACATATCAAGCTCTTAATAAATGTGTTTTCATTCATTCAGACTCAGTGAATGTGTTGGTTAATTTTGCTGAACTGCTTTTTATGTCTCTTTCTTTTTAATCCTTTGTTACAAAGTATGACTTTTTTCTAGGGAGGACAGAAGAGAGGTGGATTTGTAAATAAAGTTAATGTTTTTTCCAACAATAAAGGATTTTAAGCCCTTGCCGCTTGATTAGGGTTCTACTTTAAATAAAATATTGTAACTTTTAAAGACTTGAAATGCTTTTCTCTAACCAATAAAACTGCAATACCATAGCATTTCCCAAGACAGAGTTAAAAGCAGAAAAAAATGACCAGGCATGGTTGTTGTTGTTTATAAATCCTAGCAACCAGGTAGGCTGAGGTTTGAGGATCACTTGGGGAGTTCTAAATTGTCTGGTACCAATATGATGAGCTTCTGAGAGTGGGGAGGAGGGAGGGAGAGAGGGGAGGAGGGGTGTCTCCAGGCTGCATAAGGAGAGACAAATCAGCCCAGGTCAGAAGTGAGCATGTCAAAGCTTGTGTGCTGATCAGGAGTGGGATCAGGCATCCGAGGGACTGCTCTATTTCCATTCTGGACAAATTTGCGAGACCCAGGCTTGTTTACAAAAATAAAAAATAGAGAAAAATGAAGGTCAGTAGAAATGCAAATTAGAGTTGTTGAAATTCAGTTATACCTTCTCATGGGAACTGTTCCCCATGTACCTTTCCTATTATCTTATCTAGGCCAGTATTAAATGTTCTAGAAATGAAATTCTATCTGATGTGCCCTGGTTACAGTTATTAATGTATTTCTTCTGTAAGAAAAAAGTTTATTATGCTTCATATGAAAACATTAAAACTAGCCAGCAAAGGAAATGACATCAACTAGCTTATCCACTTTGTCAGACCAAGATACGAAGAGGTCACATTTCCTTTCTCATTTGCAATGTAATTCTCCAGGTCTCTTTCCTTTCCAGTTTGTGACATGGAGGAATGAGAAGAACACGTGATCTATACCCTATCATATGTTCAGTTTCAAGAGGTCCTATGGCAAACCAAGTATCAGAGTTACCTTAAACTAGTAGGGAATCACTGCCCTCTCACAGCTTGAGCAGCCCTAATCCGTATCCAGGAAATGTCCCCTTGGTATTTCTGAATTTCCTTGGGAGCAGGGGATCTCTGGGTTGACCTTGGGGCAAATTTCCTAGATTTCTTCGATAGTCTAGGGGCATGGGGCTAGGGGAAGTATGTAGAGGGTCTGTAAGGTCCTATGTTAATAGTGGAGATCAGCGGAGATAAGGTCTTAAAACCTTAATACCAGCAGTCTTAATACCTGCAGTTTAGTTACCAAAGACGCTAAGCACCCTATTACGGTGGCTGCCATGCAAGAAACCCTAGTAACAATAGCTAACATGTATATAGCACTTAAAGTTTACAGAGCAATCTCATTTAAGCCCCACAGCAAACCTGGGAGGTAGGTGCTATAGGAATTATCTTCATTCACCATGCAGGAGTGAGAGGAACATGAGCTCTTA